GGTGGATCGCTGCGAAATTATTCTCGGGCTCGTAAACGTCGCACTCTTCAACTCCGAACGTAGCTCCAACAACCGCAAATGATCTTCCGTCGCCGTACATCGCGCTCAGGGAAGACCAGAATGTCGTGGCTCAACATTGAAATCGTTTAAGAGACAGAAGACTTTCCAAAAGGAGAATTTATCGTGCTACTTGCCGAGGTTACGCCGGAATTTACGCTCTGTGCTCGGAACGAAACGCGCCTTTGATGTTCGCCTTTTGTATACTACTTAGCCTGCGTTTGTTTATGTGTATGCATGAGAGAAACTTGAGTCAAGTGATTATATTTCATACCGAGCAGAATTCTATAGTTCCCCATGTTGTAAATCACAAAAATCGTGACAGTTAAAATTATTTACATCAAATTTCCATCAGTTTTGATAAATTGCGTCTTAAATAATACAATTCTTTGAATTATATTTAAATTATTATTTAAGACGGAAATGTATCTTATTTTAATTATCAATTCAATTTAAAAGATTCTTGATTAAATAATATTCAATAATACAATATGATGCTCTGGTCTTAACGTTTTTAACAAAATTAACGTGTGAAATAAATGAGTTGCAAGACCAATGCTTTAGTCAAAGTCAAAGTTTAGTCAACACTCTTCTGTTTTTCACTTAATGTTATGACAACTTAATTGTTATGAGATTTGTTTGTCCAAGTCTTGCTCACACAATATTAAACTTCGCGATAGCCTGTGTGTATATTTCACACAATCGCCTTATCGATAGAGACGAAATACCAGTTCAGAATTAGGGTGGCACCCGAGACGAAGCGACGCGCATGGTTCGTTTTACCGATCTTGCTTCCCCCTTGACATTCGACGCCACCGCGTCGCATGCGTGTGGCATGTATACCGACGCGAAGAGGCCGCTCAAGTTTTAAAATTCTATAGATGAACACGATACGAAATCAATGCGGAGACCGTCAAATATCTTAGAGGAGGTTGGACCCCACGGCGACCCCCCCCCCGCGATCTGCTTACGCGGTCACGTGTGTGCGACAGGTGCGTACACACACACTCGTTTTCGCACGCATCGACTTCTCCGAGATGTATTCCGGATATGACGTCACGCTCGGCTTGGACCCTGCGTGATCGAAATTCAGATGAGAAAGCCGGGCGTCGAAAACCTCAAGACGTTGCGGTTAACATACCCGGACGGATACCTTGCTTTGCCATTTCGGGGACGGATACACGACCCTCGGGGTACATTCGAGTCGCATCGTCGTGAATTGCTGAAATGTGCATCAATGTTGTACGAGCCTTACCGACTGCGGCCTGTCGCGTAGTTACTTTATAGCGTCTTACAGAAACCCGATATCGTCACGTCCGAACCGTATCTCGTTGAAACGTATAAGAAAAATGCTCTAACTTTATTAAATCGTTAAACATTTTCTTCCAGTATACGATTAATTCCACGGAGTATTTTATATCCGGTGTCAAAGTGATTTCGCTAAAACCCTTCTTTCTATTCTTTTCACTTTGTAGTCATCACAAGAGCCGCCCAACCCTGATGTTTGTTCACTTATCGTAATCTCGCTTGACCTTCACCCTCACACGATTGACGTAAGGTGCGTAGGCTCGTGCCGTGTAATGATAATTCATGGCAAACGTTATTCATACCAGAAGTTCGTCCGAGGTTATCGCGGTAGTTTGCCCTGGGGGCAGTCAGGGAAACGCACCCCTCGCGGCCAGTTCTCTCTCTCCGTTTCACGTAGAGCCTAGTGCCGTTCCTGGCCATGCAAAGTGAGCCAGGGGCTGTTAGATTAAACTCCAACCCCTCGCGACGCCCCGGATGCCTCCGACGCCGCGACGGGTTAAAAACAGACAGAAAGAGTATGACTCATCCCTTAGCAATGATACAAACGTCGCGCGAAAGTGAACAATACTTTACATGAAAGTTCTTTATGATATAATATACATTTATCAATGTTATCTTTGTCGTAAAAGAATTGAATTAAAAATTAACAACACTAGTAAAAATGTAAGAATGTTAAATTAAAAGGTAAGAATGTTAAATTAAAAGTTAGGTAAAATGGTATATTACAACAGCAATGAGCTTTGAAATTTTACGCTGAAAGTTTTAATCAAAATGTCAAATTTCCATTTCCACAAACACGACGATAGAATTAATTGTAACTTGCGCGGCTAGGTCACTCAGAAATTTTGTGTATCAGAGAACAAAGAGACGTCCGCGTTGGATATCAAAGGGGTTTCAAACAAGTGGGTCCGCTGGGGTCGATTTATTCCACTGCTGGAAGTAGACGCGAATACATTATTACAAAAGGGTACCGGAAGGGTTTCGGGCCAATCGGCTCGACAATGTCGACACGTTGATGAACTACTTTTATATCTTCATTCATGCGGCTACGCTGACATGTGGAATATGTCAGCAGTATAATGTTATTTCGATCTTTGTATCGGCTTTCATATCAAGAAGTGGCATTAAAGATGATAATTCATTTATCGTACACTGATTATGATAATATTCAATTGATCTTCGAATAAAAAGAGAACATTGTTGTTTTTTTGTGAAATAAATTTACGGAATATAAAACTAGCTTTGTTCTGCAGATTTTGTATGACCTATTTCACATTCTTGATCGAAACATTTGATTGTAAAAAAGTAATGAATATACTAGAAGAATTTGAACACTTAACATTGTTGGGATTAAATTTCGTAAAACTCTCAAAGTAAACACTTTTACAAGTTTTATTAGGAAGACGGTTTAAGTTTTTCAAATTTTCCCAGCTTCATGTCGATCTCATTCACCCTCGCTGCTCCCTCGATTATTCCCATGGAAACGATTCAAACGAAGCCTTTCAACGAAACATCAATCTCGTTCAAGCGCAATCCTAATATAGTGCGCGGCTAATTATTCGCGCCGACAAAAGAGCTGCCATGAAAATCCACCGCCGGATCAATAATCATGAAATTTCGCTCGCTTCTCGATAATCGTCGTTTCTTCATAACGAAATAAAACGTGCAAGTGTACCTGAGAAAGCACTTATCCTTTTAATCCCCTAATTACGCGCTATAGCGGACTACTCCGACTAAATCCCGGATCGAAAGTAGAAGATTATGTCCCTCGTCTAATGTTTCCTGCTTTGATGAAAGTTTGTTTTCAACCTTCATACATACATATAAGATGCATCGATCAACCGGCAATTTCTTTTGCGCGCGTTGAATAACTAATAAATATTTTAATGTAGTCAAGCTTTGAAATTTTTTTGGTTAATTTTTCCTTGTTTTCTCATTTTTTCTCTTAGCTTGTATTTCCACTATTTTACATTTGCTAAATTATGTGATAAAACGAACAGTGAAAGATAAAAGATATTATGCAATAAATTTTAATATTTATAAGTAACATCAGATAAAGAGAAGCCGGACCTTGTTAATAAATTAAATAATTTTATATAGTATACTTTGTTCTCTAGTTGTACTTTCAGTTTAACATAATTATGTAAGTAAATGTAAAGTGGCGGTAGAACAACGCAAGAGAAAAAATAAAATAAAAGAAAAAATTAAAAGGAAAATATATGAAAATTTACCTGCAATTACAATTGTGTATGTCTGCGTTATCATAATTATAAATATATTTAAATAATGAATTGCACTCACCTCAGCTGAAGTACTGCAGTTTGCTTCACCCACTACAGATACTAGCTTAAATTTGTTCTTTGTTCTTTGTTTACTTTATCGAAAAATAAAGGGGATGCAAAAATCAATTCGCATAATTTACTTTCGAAAATCACGAATATTTAAGTCACGAATTTGACACGCTTCAGTATACAAAATGCAAAAGCGAAATATAACGCACATTGTGTCTCAAATGACTTATATGTTAAGCTAGAAATTGTTTATATAATTATAAAAATAATTATTGTCTTTGTATATAGCTATGCTATAGATTTATAGATATTAACAACTATTTATGTAAAGTTAATTATAAAAGAATTCAATGAGAGAAAAGTTAGTGCTTTTTCAGCTACTGTGTGAAAAGGAGTTTTCTCGCAAAGCATGTTTAAACGATCTTCCGGTTTTACGATATCCGAGAAAAGAAGTAGAAAGCATTCAACGAAACGCGAGTAATAAAACGGAGTCAATTACATCAATTGCTTTATAAACAATTGTGTTCAGTAACCATTAGTTTTTTGTTGCGCCAACAAATTCAATGTCCCCAAAACTGTTCTTTGACAATTTATTCTTTTTGTAAACACTTAATTGTATTGATTAATTGTATTGAATAATTGTATTGATAACATTAATTATAAGATCAAATAAAATATGTTTATAAAAATTAAAATTATATTAAACATATTTTCAAAATCTGTTTTCAATATTCTGGTTTTTAATATAAATTTTTTATAATAATTATAATAATAATATCTTTTACTGTTAAAATAGAAAGAAAGTATTTTTATAATTTATTATTTCTTTTAAAATATCAATTTCAGACAATAATATGATTGTCAAAGAGCAGTTATTAGTAACGATTCAGTAAGCACGAACCAACAGTAACATAACATCAATGTTATAATTTCCCACTTATAATTTTTCAATGGGATTTTAAAATTCTTACTTGCAAATTTTTAAGTAAACCAAGAATGACTGAAAATAAAAAATCTTAAAACATTTTGCAAGATTGTTTTAATTAAAAATTTTGAAAAATCTTGAAAGCTTGAAAAGTCTTGAATGTGCATATATACATGTGTGTTATATTATTCAAAATATTTAACACATTCAAGACATTCAAGACTTTTAAGATTTTTTAATCATAACAGTCTTACAAAATGTATATTCAAGATATCTTGAGATAATTTGAATCCATTAGGTACAAGACATTAATTGCAGTAACATTATTAAGTAGAAAATTATAATATTATTGTTATGTTATGTTATACTGAAGAAATGGCAAACAAAAAGCAATTGGCGATATGGAAAAAATCACTCACTGGTCGTTGTATCCTAGCTAAGTACGCTCTCACAGCTGCACCTGTAGAAAAAAAAATATATATATATATATATTTTAGTTATTATAAATTAACCATGCAGTTTATTGATATTGATAATATTTAATTATTGTCATATTAATTAAAACACACATAACTATGTGCAAAAAATTGTATAAATAATTGTCATTATTTTTATAAAGATGCAATATATATTTTATTAAATATTCTAATAAATATATTCAAATATTTTAAATATTTAATATAATTTTAGTAATTGTGTGTGCGATATTACATATATTTTTAAATAATGAACAAATAATTGTATATACCAGCTAGGATATTGTAGTCTGCTTCGTCTGCTGCAGATTTTGCCTTCGGTTTTGCCTTTCGATCTCAATTCCATTAGTCAATTACACCTGGAGAACTATTAATATATTTTAATTATTACGAGTTTTATAACAAATACTAATTATTTTAAAACATAACTATATGAAATAAATTGCGTGAATAATTATTTAAAAATTTATATTATTTAATAAATGTTTTAATAAGTTATTAAAACATTTTTTTGAGGGTTATATAACAAATATTTAATAAATACAAATTAATCACATATGTATAAATTACCACAAAATTCTATAGATAATTTAAATAATAAATATATAATTATATTCACCAGCTATATAGGATATTGCTGCTTGGTCCATCTGCTGCAAAATCGGTTTTGGATTTCCTTGCAGCTGTTCCATCGAAAAATGGATGAACATCAAAATTCACGTTTATTGTTATTGACACTAGCGAACGAAAATCAACCCGCACTTCACTTACATCACTTTACTTACACAAAAATCACGAATTTACATTACGAATATGCCACGTCGCGATACACGAAACATGCTTTGCACTGGAACGTGTCTACGCACATAATGTCGATTATTTTAAACCTTATACTTTCCGCGATTTATTCGACACTGAACGGACTGAACCTGTCTTCAAAACGAACGAGATGAACGACAAAATTGTTTTGGCGGTTACGCGAGTCAACGAGAATCAACTGCGTAACTAATAACTATTGACAATCTGAATTTTCAACATATTACATCTAATTAAAAGTATACTATGTTTAGAGCTTCTTGAGCTAATAGGAATCATTGTGTATATTGTTTTTGTGTATTTTGTGGTATTAAAATCTACATACTCACTGGAATTGTAACCTATATGAGTATACGGTCTGACCGTGAGACGAAAACCGCTATTACTTGCAAATATCTGCGTAAAGTAACACATTCCGACAATCGCCGTCGCTTTAATCGACATTCCCGACAAAAATTCGTAATCGTTATTCATTTTTATTACGAGATTGTATAAATAAAGCACTCGAATAAACATACGTCGTGCGTTTCGTGCGTAGACCTGATCCGGAAAGGCCGGCCGGTAGGTAAACCGTGTTATCTTACCGGCCGCTTTACCGGCCACTGCGCGTTCTATTTTACCAGCGTTCTATGTCGCGTCCGGTTCAACTTCATAGTGCAAAACTCGACGCTCTAGAAAATGGACAAAATGTAAGTTGTTGAATCGCGTATTTTATCCGTAGCAATCTCGTAGTAAAAATGCATAACAATTGCAAATTTTTGTCGGGAGTGCCGATTAAAATGATTAAAGATTGTCGGAACGTATTATTTATCACGAATGAACGCGACTAACAGTGATTTTCGTCTGGCGATCGAGCCGTGTATTCAGAGGTTATGATTTTAGTGAGTATGCGAATTTTTTGATTTCATAAATACGCAAAATAAACTTTACATTTATTTAAGAAGCTCTAAACACAGTAGACTTTTTATTTGATATAACATGAAAATTCAGTGCGTTGAAATTAAATCTGAATAAACGTAGCTGTTGGTTGAGTATGCGTTTGTACGGCCTTTGTCCGATCGCCAAAATAACCGTCGTTTGTCTCGTTTGCTTTGAGCGTATGTACAGTGTTAAATAAATTGCAGAATGTGTAATGTTATAATTATCGTGATAATTATGTGCGTAGTCGCGTTGTGGTATAAATGTTTCGTGTATCGCGGTGCGACAAATTCGCAATGTAAATTCGTGATTTCCGCGTAAGTGAAGTTGTGTGTGCGGATCGATTTTTGTTTGCTAGTCGGGTAACAATAAATGTAGATTTCCGATGTTTTTCAATTTTTGATGGAATTTATGTGGAGAAAAAGACAGAATTTGCAGTGGATGCATGAAGCAGCAATATCCTAGCTGGTAAATACAATTATTTATTTATTACTTAAATATATATACAATTTTGTGGTAATTATATATAATATATATGTAATTAATTTGTATTTATTAAATATTTATTATATATAAAATCTTTATATATAAAATAATTTTTAATTAACTTATATTAAAACATTTATTAAATATTTATTAAAATTTTTTAATTAATTACGTCATTTATTTCATATAATTGTGCTTTAAACTAACTAGTACTTATTATAAAACTCATAACAATTAAAATATATTAATATTTTCTCAGATATAATTTATTTTAATGGAGTTAATGCAAGGCAGTTGTGAAGGCAAAATCTGTAGGAACAAATAAAGCACTTACTTCAATATCCTAGCTGGTGAGTACAAATATCTGTTGAAAAATATATGTAATGTAATATTACCTACACAATTATAAAATTAATATTAAATATTTAAAAATACATACAAATGCATATTTATACAATATTTAAATAAGTATTTATGCATTTTTTTGCACATAGTTGTATGTTTTAATCAAAATGGAAATAATTAAGTATTATCAATATAAATAATGTGTGATAATTTACAATAACTATAATATAAATAAATTTCTTCAGGTGCAGCTGTGAGAGCGTACTTAGCTAGGGTACAACGACCGGTGAGTCAGTTTATTTAACACAAATGCATAATTACATGAAATACTGATCATCGGCTATTTTTCTGTCAGTCAATGTTCATTAAATAATGGCTATGAATTGCGCTGTAAAAATGCTTTTCTGCAATTTGCATTTTTATAAATAAAAGTTACAAGTTATTATAAGTTAAGTACAAAGTAATTTTTTCTATTTTAACTATATTAAATATCAAGTTTAGCATGATATTAATAATATTTCTTATTCTTAAATTGTAATATTGCATGATTTTAGAAATAGATTATATAAACATAAAATTTTTTTTTTTTTTTAAATTAAACTTAAAAATTAAAATTAAAGATGTAAATTTAAAAAATATAATAATTAATATAATTTTAATGTACATAAATATATTTTTTACTAACGTACAGAAATATAATTTTATTAATTATTTAGTATGATTTGCAAAAGAGCAAATTATTAAAATACGATTTTGGTACGCAATTTATTGGAAGCCATAATTATTAATGCAACATGATTTTAATGCAATGCAATTGACCCTATTTTATAATGTGTATTTCACTGATTTGTATGTTTTGTTTGGTTTTTTCGGACATTATAAAATTCGAAGTTTTTTTAAAATACAACTTACTTTGAGAGAAAAGCTTTTTCCACATGATTGCTAAAAAAGTACTAGATTATTAAAACAATTCTGTGTTGTATATTTATTATAAAAGTAATTGTTAGTATAAAAGCCTGTTGCTTTATTTATAATTCATAATTGTAGCACAAAAAGCGTTTTATTTTGGGTTTATGTTTTGTGTATCACAGCATGGCAAGTTTGCTATGCAAATTCGTGCTTTTTATGTAAGCACCATGCGCGGATTGACCTTTGTTCAGTAGTGTGTGTGTATATAAGTGCAAGTTTCTCCGACATTTGTTGTTCTTCGATGAAGCTGATGTGGAGGAATCTATGAAGGAACCTGCAATGGATGTGAGGCAAACTGCGATATTTTAGTTGGTGAGTTTTATTTTTTTATTTTATTTATTCATTATTTAAATATGTACATAGCTGTGATAACAAAGAGATATACAAGATATTCAGACCAATCATATTGCTTATTAATAGCAAATTTCTAAGGTTATTCGGAATCGAAAATCTTTATACTAAAATTTCAACTCCAAATAATCTCAAGAATCTGCTATTAACGGATGATACGGTTGATCTAAGACATTTTGTATAATTCTTGTTGTATTTTTAAATGTTGGGATATTTTGTTTAAATATGGAATATGACTGAAGGATCGTTTTTATTATCTTTTGTATCAGCGCATAAATAGAAGTGCATGCGAATTGTCCGACAGATAGAAATTATGTTTTACCAAGTTTTCTTTTTTTGTTTTCGTTTCAATGGTCTTATAACTAACTTTTCTTGAACATCTAATCCAATTCTTTCACGTATAAAAGGGAAAAAGATGAAAGTACTCGCGGGAAGGAAAGAATAACTTGAAGAAAAGAAGTTTCGTGGACGAGCGCACTTTGTACCGTGTCGTGCGAAAATCCACTTCGCGCTTTCGCTTAGAAAATCTTTTTAGGTGGACCTGCGTCCAAGTGCCCTTACAATCACTTGATCGGAGCATAATAATGGCCAGGAAGTTTTTATTACGTTCGCTGTTTTTTTTGCAAGATACTCTAAAAGATGAATCGATGCGAGATGCTGAAGAGCTGTAGAAAGTAATGGACAGCATTTTTCCATCGTTCCAACAACATCTCAGAACACGAAGATTCTATTAGTATTATGGACGCTATATAACACAATCGAATAGTGAGCTATCAAAGGTAAAAAATTGGATGTTTCTGATGGAAACGCACTTCTGTTCCGCAAATGTCTTTGTCAATACTAAATTAACATTTTGATGGAAAGAAGGATGATATTGGTACTTAATTTATATGTCGTTTTATTTGGTTCTCTTTAATATAGCGTCTGATTTAAAAATTAATGATTTTTTGTTTTGATTTGCTGTTGGAAGAGATGGAATAAGTATATATATTAAAAGGAAAGTTATATTAAAGTTAAAAAATAGCTTCTCTCTCAATTAAAAATATTATTCACGACATAGGTTATTAACAGATATCATGATCGATTACGCGACTTTAGAAGACAATTTAGAAGACATTTTTTTTGCTCCTTACCGGTCACGTATCTTATTTGTGCGGTAGAAACTAGAAACATCGTTTTTCTTCAAAGAAAGAAAATTTCAGAAGGAACGCAAAAGTTCAATAAATAATCCAGAATATTACACTGTCACGCAAAGAATAATGACGAAGCGCGACTCAACCGTCGTTCAAAAAGAAATACAATGACTATTCGGAGAAGTGAGAATAAAGGTAGCAGGAATAAAAAGGAAAGAGGATCAGCGATGTCCGAAAGTAACGGTCTTCTTGAACTGAATTCATTTTTTCGACAAGACTTTCATTCACGCAAAGGATTCGGACGAGCTCGCGGAATATGAAAAAAAAAAAAATACGAGGGCGGTAAAGAAAGACCCTCGCACACGTCACCCTCCCATTTACATTACATCCAGCACCCGCGCCTTTTCTTCGAATCTCCCTTCTTTCGCGGGCGTCCGTGTTTCTCGTTCCACTGCCTTTTCGCGGGACTTTGTTCTCTTCGAAAAGTTGGAAATGATAAGAGCTTGCGCGATCTCATTCTGTTTAAGACAAGAATATCAATACCACTTCCTGCGGGCTTTTGTACCTTGTTACTTGTAATAACATGAAATACCAATGTTATAGAGTTCTTTGTAAAGTCTTATGCTCTTTTGTCGGGAACGAAATATAGTATATTTATACAGATTTATGTCAGTGTGAACGTTTGTCACTGGTTCGAAAAAGTAGGGATCCTGCGTTCTTTGTGTATAGATGGAATTTTCTTACGACACGTACGAACGTGCCGAGAAAGACGGGGTTTCTCATTTGAGGAATGAACTCGAGTCACTGCTGACGTTGCTGATGCTGTACTACGCGCCCTTTTGTCACGTCCTCGCGAAAGTATATTTCCTCATTAGATTCGACTGCGATTCGGGAAAAGTATGCATTCAATTTTTCGACCAAAGATTTTTTCTATAATTAAATAACATCGTTATTTTTAATAGTGTATTTATTTATTGACTCGTAAAAATGATACGCTTATTATTTTTTAATTCTTAATTATTTATTTCCGATTATTGTGAGAGACGGAATTTATATAACATTTAGATAACTTGGTTCTTTTTAGTATTAAAATGTATATGGAATTGATAGATTGCTATATCGAAGATAATGCAGGGTCTTAACTTACAATTAGCTGTCTTAAAAATTATGGGGAGAATGGTCGATGAACTATAGCCGTTACGGGCGAAATGAAACGGTCGGGATCGTCGCGAGACGGAAGTTTTAATTACGTTAGACAGCAGGCAACTTACTACTTAGAAGTCTGGCTACTATCTGAATGCAATTAGGTGTCCTTTGAAACAGGTAGCGCATAGACTTACCTTATCTTTATTCGACGTTGCTTTCTTCAATCTGCCTCTCTCGTTCTGCATCGCTTAGCATGGCTGTCTTAAAGAACACATTTCTACTTTCCGGAACTTTATGTTCGTATCTTTCATAATTCCGTGATTTTAATTGAATTTTTATAAATCGTTCTAGCGTGCTACACAAATCGAAGGACGAGATTTATATTTATTATAACGATACCTTGTATTGATGTAGCGCGTATAATATTTGGCCTTTGTAACATATTATTTTGATGAGAATTTAATTAAAATAGCTTTCCATTGTGTGCGCGCATCGCACGAATCAATGCACCCTGTAACATCTAATAACATTAGAGATAGCAATTGTTGCTTGACCTCCCTTGCTTCGCGTACGCGCACAATCCGTGCGCCGTTCATCGCTCGAATTCCCTCCTTATTTTTCGAATTCGTCCACTTAGCGAACCCCACTCGATTGCCGTCGCATGCCGGAGTTCGATAATAGAATTTGGCTGCCCTTTGCGGAACGCGCCGCGCCATGGCCGGCAGATATGCAAATGATTGCCGTGCAGCCTCTGAGGGGTGCATCGAGAGGGATGCCATAAGGAGGGTAACGGCCATCGGGAATCCGCGACCGAGAAGGGACGCTAGCGGACTTCCGCAGCACCTGGGCAAGATTTTGAAAAGGTTTCGTAGGATTTCGATTCAGATTCGTAGGATTGTTGGTTGAGCTTTGACGGAGTGAGATAAGATGATTTTTTAATCATGGTTTTAGATGATTGTATCAACAAAATCGCAGTTTTAGTTACGTGAAATTAAATAGGATAGAATAAATTAGGAAATAATGCAATAATTATGTTATGCGATAATGCAATAATTATACTATGCAATAATTATATTAATTATTAACAATAATTATATTATTGCATTATAACACTTAATTCTGCTAAGACTTAGAATAATAGGCGCTTATTTCTTGGCACGGAAATTCAACATATTGGCGCGGAAAAAAATATCAGAAATCAGATATTATCCACATAATATCGTTCGCACGGTTCTTTATGACGTTCCGATTTTACGGAAGAGCTACGTACGTAAATATCCTGCCTCGGAAAATGTTCGAGGATACTGTGGGCATACGGGCAAACGGGGTGGCTTCATTAGCGATCCGTCTATCCCCGACGTGACGCCGACGCGTTTCCCTCGGCAGTATCGCGAATTGCGCGCCTCGCTGGGCCGGCTTGATTTCCTGTGTTTGGTCAAACAGACGGCAATGACAGACTCGACTGGCCGCGGCACTGTATGCAGGGAGAGTTACCAAGTTATTTCATTAAGCTGACCGTGCTTGGGCAATAATTATCGTCGAACCGCGCCGCGAGATGTTTTTCCCAGATTCTCCGCCATCCGGTAGAATGTATCTTTCGTCGTGTCGCCATTAAAAGCGACGTGAAGAAAATATACGCTGTCGCTCATTCGTCACGTTGACTTATAGTGTACAGTTATTAAAGTTA